TCTTCTGGACCTGACAATGATTTATAGTCACACTACCTGGCGTCACCCAGAAAAGGATGGGCTCCACTTTGAGTCTGGTTTCTTCCTCATGTCGTCTCAGGAAGATTTTCTCATTTCTGTAAAGCTGCTTTGTGGCCATGTCTAGTGCTACACAAATAAAATTGAAATTACTTGGGGAAAAAAAAAACTCTTCAGAATATCACTATAAGTTGTCATGTTGAGATGTTGGACTACTGATTGGAAGGTTGTGAGTTCAAATCCCAGCACTGCCAAGCTACTACTGCTGGGTCCATGAGCAAGGCCCTTAACCCTCAACTGCTCAGTTGTATAAATGTAAGTCACTCTCGATAAGGGTGTCTGTCAAATGCTGTAAATGTACATATGAGTTACATCATACTTCATTACTGTTCTTAAGTAACTTGCATTGGCGTTTGCTTATTTTGCTGATGCTTATATACACCTATCACTGAGACTGGATATAATTGAAACATTGAGGATTAAGGGCCCTGAAAAGTTGTAGCTTCCAACCATCCTATACAAAATTCATAACCTCTGAGCCACCAACTTCTTTACTCAAGTATAAACGTGTCGACTTAGATTTGACTATATTTTCAAAAGCAAATGTCTCCTGACCCCCACCAGGAAAATCAGAAAGAAAATAGACCTTCATTACTAACTTCCATATTAACCCTAAATGACTGTTATTTCTTGGCTGTTCAATGACTAAAATGGCTCTCTGGATATATTTTATTACTTTAGACAAGTTGGAATATTTATATGGGTAGATGTGCTAACATTACCACGGCTGTGGAGCACCACAATATTTCAGGCCTGGCAAAGGTGCAGTTATTTTGTCTATAATTAGACTCATAACTTGGGTATATTCCCTCCCATTTGAGATTTCACTAAGGCCCCTGATCAGGATAAAGCTGTTACTGACGATGAAGCCTGGATAAAATATAATGTAAGGAAAATAACAATAATAATAATAATAATAATAATAATTTATACCAGCTACTATCCTCACAATGACTTGCTTATATTGAAAAGTTAGCATTTTATTATTTTATTATTATTTGGCAATTATTTTGAATTATTGTTTGGCAAAAGACAGTGGCAGACTGGACATTTTCATTCACTTTTTTCATACTTTTTCATACTTTTTTTTACAGTATAACATGCAAAACAACACAGTGATAATGTCCTACTGTTTTCTCCCTGGTTTTGAGATTGTACTTAACTACAATCTACTTAAGCATGTACATACTGTATAAGGTATCGTGTTCTTTTAGTGAAGTACAGTATATCTAATATACACTGTATATATCTAGGGTATGTCTAAAGTGTGCACTGCAGTTTACCTTCTATAATTAACTTTACTCCAATCTGGGACATTTGGTGCAAATGTTTAAAGGCTATTTTTCATTAGGTTTTTAGGACCATTTAATGAAATAGAGATGTTTAACTACCCTGAACAGAAACTAAACAGTTCATGAACACATTCCTATCTTGCTTTCCCACTGCACAAACCATAACGATTTTGCAAATTAGGCATAAACTTAGGAAATTAAGTCTGTCCTCACCAGGCTGTGATGCATTTTCAGGAAAGACAGAAAGGACTGCAGGATGAAATCTGACTTCTTACACCGTGGACACTGTAAATTTAACCTATATTATTATAGAATATATAGAATATTACATATATTTAAGCATATATAATTAGCCACCAGACAGTGAAATAATTTCTTTTTCACACAAATGTTTAATCCCTTCAGTTGGGATAATCTGTATTCAAGATACAATTGTACAATTGTAGATTTTACAGTCATTTGCTGGCAAATTGGGATGCCAGTAAAGTACCGTAAAATTTACAGTAAACAACCATAAAACATATTTATAATCTTACAGTCTTCGAATTTGTCACTGGAAGCCTCAAACACTGACCCACCACCACAACAAGCTCAGCTAGCTTGCATTGATTCTCCCACTTGTCCCACTGAATGAACTCCACTAAAAGATTGCATTGAATCAAGGCAAGTTAGTTGAGCTAGTTGCTAAGATATTGCAGTACTGTAATGTAAATATGTTTTACAGTAATTTTACAGTACAGCAACCCATGTTGCTATAACATTTACAGCAATTTTTTTATTCACTGTAAAGTTTCTGTCCATGTCCTTGTTGTCCTGTTGATCTGTTGATACAGGTACACTGAGAGTTTACAGATTCTTAGCACACGTGTATTAGCCGTCCATGTGTAGCTCAGTAGCCCATGACAATTTACTCAAGTGTCATCTCTGGCTCATTTTACTCTAAAAAAATACCCATTGATCTTCATTACTTTTACAATTACCTTACTATTACACATTAACCCCTTTCATGCTGTCTGTAACAAGAACCCAGGATATTTCTCCTTACCACCAGTGGAGGACGCATTCCTCGGAATTTAGGGATGGCTTCTGGATCTTGGACTATTTAATCAAACATTAATTATCTGCAAAGTCTTGCCCTCATTTATGTGTAGTTATTCTATGCTGACTGCCTTGTGGATTAATGACCTTGTATTTTGGATTATTCTCTGCATTCTCCTTTGGCCTTGTTTTATATTCTTGATTGTATTTTGACCATTGCCTCTAATATTGCTTTTGGATTATGTGTTTACTTCACCTGCCTCGATTCTAATAAACCTCTTGCATCTGGATCCTCACTCTGCTCCTGAGTTACAACGGCCAACTGTAATTGACCGTTATCTCTTACCTCTTACCTAAAAACACAGAAGATGAGTGTGGTTAAAAAGAAAAAAAAGTTGTATAAAAAAGACTATATTTAGTCCAACAGTTCCTCTCCCCCCTCATTTCCTCTCCCAAAAGAAACTTAATTTTGTGCAAGTCTTAGGGATTGTACATTTTGAAATATAAATTTTGGTTTACATGCCTAGTTCATGCATGTTTATAATGTTTCCAAACACACTTTTATATCATATTTTGTGAATAATCCTTGGTAGACCATGATTCTGATTAAAAAAACCAAAACAAAAAAACAACAACAAAAAAAACCAAAACCAAATACCATCAGCAAGGCTTGGATTATACCTGAACACAGGGTTGCCAGATCTTGCCACATTGGAAAATGTGGCTATTCATACCAATGAATAAATGAACATAAACTATATCGTCACTGTCTTATATTCTGTTTTACATCAGCAACATTTTGGCCAAATTTCTGGCTTTTTTGAGATGTAGTTGGGATGGAAATTTTTGCTCAGTCCTGGCAACCCTGCTTGCAGAAACAGAACAACTACTGTATATCAGGTTCTCCATTAAACCTGGAACAAACGACAAGCCGATTTCATTACAAATCTGCTCCACAGTGTTCCTACCTACATGTATACAGTTTAAATGCTAAGGTAAATTATCATATGAGTTCTTTTGTTTATTGATTGTTTTGCTGTTTACTGCTCATTATAATAAACATCCTGGCATACAACATGGAGGAAGCTGAAGCTGATTTGTAGTTTACTGTAATTAGATGAGAGTAAAACTATTATTTGCTGTGCGGCACGCATAGAGAAATAGAATATGTGAAAAGGGTTTTATGATCATGCAGCAATAATAGTTTAATAATGAAGTTTATATGGTTTGTTGCTATGTGAAGCTTTGGATATGATCAATCAGCAGTGTTCACTATTGCCAGACAGTTCTTATGCTAACTTAAACACTCGGGGAACCACATGTTTTGAAATAGGATGTAAAAATGAGGATGAAAGCTATGGCCTAGGAACTGAAATTCGTCTGGCTTCCTCCAATGGAAATGAGGCTAAAGTGTGTGAGGTGCTGAAAAAAAAAAAGTTTCAAAAAAAAGCTCCTATGGTGGAAAAAGGGTTTCTACATGAGCAAAAGCTTGACACTCAAACAGTGGTGGAAAGTCAGCAGACTGTATTTTTCTTGGTCCATAATGAGATTCCATTAATACAGCCATTAAAATAGACATGCTAATAATAAGCACAGCTGCTCAAATGAACACATGCACACGGAATTAAACTGTTATAAGACACGGATGAGAAAACAAACATCAGGAGTACACAGTGCACTCTTTTGACGCTTCTCTCTTGCCAGAGAGAGCACAGCTGTAGACCTTCTCCAGGCTTCTTTCATCAGCCCGTATCTGTCGTCCTGCTTCGTTTCGAGAGTTTATATTGGAAGTACATGCCGTTCTGTGACCTTCCACTTTTCCGTTTCCAGCAGCTGAAGCCGTCTCCAGCGTAGTCATTTTCACACTGGCAGGTGTACGAGCCGTCTGTGTTCACACACTGTGCATGGCGGCTGCAGCGGTGGCGACCTGTCACACACTCATCTTCATCTGTGAGGGGCACATGAGGGGGAGGACGCAGGTGAGACTGGGAGAGGCTGTGCAGATGCGAGACTACATTCATGAAGAATTTTATGCAGTGCTGGTATGTAGGAGGTGTGTTTGTGTGTGCAGAAAATACATACACTATGTATGTTGTGCTATCTGCACACACACACACTGATAGTTCACAGAAAAAATCACATACATTTCGCATGTGCTCAAAGCAAGGTCAAATTTGTATGGCTTTTGTATGGCTAGTCTCTGAATTTGATTGACATATAAAGAAGTTCTACATGAATTATTTCTGTGTGAGTAGTGAAGAGAAACTAGATATGTTAACTGTCTTTTTCATCTTTGCTCATTGAAATGATCTGTCACTATCATCTTATCACATTAGAAAGATTGGGATGAAATCGATGGAATTATGGTACATAATTGTTAAAACACCTTTCCAGAACATAATATTTATCAAGCTTTATCAAGTTAGAATTCAACATTGAATGACTGCTCCATTCCACCTTTCCACGCTGGATGTCGGATTTTCCCGAGTTCTCAGTACAATGGATTACAACTTGTTTGTTAAATTTCTGGTAATGAAGCCTTTTGGGAAACACTCGCCAAAACTGGCTTGTACATAACATTGCTACATCGGGTCTCTGGAGGACTAGTGGTTAGACCGTGTTGCTCTTGCTGCCACGGCCCGGGTTCGATTCCTGGCCAGGGAACCAACTCCAGCCACTGGGGTTGCACACGACAGTACACTCTCAGTGCCAGCCCCAAGCCCGGGGTTGCATCAGGAAGGGCATCCAGTGTAAAAACTGTGCCAAATCAAATTTGCGGAACAGTGATCCACTGTGGCGACTCCTAATGGGAGCAGCCAAAAGATCAACAACAACATAACATAGCTACATCCTTCATTATTCACTAAGATTCATTGGGAGTGAGTTATTGGGAAGAGACTAAAAAATGGGATGGGATGAGAACCCCTATACCACCTCAAAAACGGTACTTTATTACTGCAATAAAATCTTCTGCTGCTGTCAGAAAGAAAAGATACAAATATTATACTGGGAAAAAAAATCAACACAAAGTAAAAGATCAATAGTTATGTGAGAGCAAGGGAAAGTTTTACATTCCACACCTGCAGGATGTCAGGAATGTTGAGGCATAATGCAGTAATAATAATAATGTTGCTACATCACACTGGGTATGCGAGGGAGGGTGATGAAGCGCCCCCTCAGAGTTTTCCTATCTGGACTGGAGCTAATTGCCAATGTAGCTAAACATTAAGAAGAGTATGTAGTACAGTTTATACAAATATTTTAAATATGTAAGAATTGTATTGCCACCAAATCTAAAGAGTCGACCTGATCCAACGAGACATCTGTTGCTAACTAGTAAACAGAAGGGTTAAACCGCTCCAGAAACATGTGGTTGTGCCCACGACAAGTGCTTTTAATTTAGTCACACTGTACAGAACTAATGCTTTCTTGTTCTCACATGCATGGAGCCTGTAGAAAGCATTCATGCAGCGCAATAAAAATCTGCATTTTATCAGTGACATACAGCTGTGCTTAGTGATGAATGAGCTGTAGGATCGAACTGGTTTTAATAATTAGGTATTAGCATTATGTAACTGATATCAGACTAAATGGACCCACTAGGCTCCCAGCTGTATAAAGATATGCTACTTCATACCACATTATTGAATTCTTGATTCTGATTGCTCAGTAGGTGGTAATTAATTTTCTATAACAGCAGCTCTGACAGACAAATCACAGGTTTATATTAATGTGCTCTTTCTAATGGGTTACACAGGGACTTGTATGGCAGACACTCAACATAAATGACTGAAAATTAATTATTGATGTGGTGTAGTCTCCTGTGAGGAGATCTTTATTTAGCAATTTTGGAAGGAGTCTCCAGTGTGAGCACTTTGTAACAGTTAGAGGTAAAGCTTTAACTTTTCCGCCATGGTAACATGACAACCTGCATTTCTTGTCTAATTAAAAAAAAGAGGCTGGTGAGGGAATGATAATTATACCTGTTATAATGTAAGCATAAAAAGAAAAAAAAGTATGATGTGACATTCTTTAATATATAAAATTTATAAATTTGATAAAATTGATGTAGTGTGAGAGGAATGAATCACTTTGGGACGTGCTGTTCCTGCAAAATGACATCACACCACCCCATTGTTAATTATTTTCTTATAACAGCATGACCCGTAATGTTTTATTTTGTATTTAAAAGCAGCGTTTTTCACTTTGTTGCCCCTGGAGGGCGACGTGGCAGCTGGTGAAATAAATACAGAGACACACACTTCTGTGAAATATAAAAACTAGTCGGCCTAGTTCATTCTAACTATATTAAATTTTTCATTTTGAAATGAGAAGTAATACAACTTCACCACTAGGTGGAACTATTACACTTGTAGCCTAGAGGTCAGCTAGCAAGAAGCTGAAGCAGCATACAGCAAAAATCAATTAATCAGATCAATTAAAAATCAAAAATCAATTAATCAAAAAAATCAATTAGTAGTCAATTAACAGAGCAGTTCAGGTAAAATCTAATTTATGCACTTACTCCTAATATAGTTGTGTGTTCAAGGTTTCTTTCTGCAGTTTTGGTCTGGAGCGATATGGCCAATGTAGCTAAAAGTAATGGATGCATATTGCTAAGTATTTACCTCAAACTGTACGCAGTTCTATAGTAATTGCCCACAGATTTGCAGATGTGTTTGGTGAGAAAGTGTGACTTAAACCAATTTACAAAATGAATAAAACTTCACTGCGTAGCTGAAAAATGTAAAGTTATGTAGACTTTACGTCCACGTCACCTTTTTTTCTTTACAGTTTAAAAAATGAGCATGAAAATTTATATTCTTAAAGGGACAGACAAAAGTGGATCAGTGTGGCAAAAGAGTACGGTGAGGCACAAAGGTGAGGCAGAGAAAATGGCGTCTCTTGCCTCATAAGAATTGCGCTGAAAAACTGCAAATAAAGCTGGACTGCCAAATCCAACGTTCCTTTAGTCAGGGTGACTATTTCTTGAAATTTAGCAAAGAATGAGGCTTTATAACTTTATAAGTATAACTTGCATGTAGCAGTTAGTGTGAGCATAGTTTACAATAAAAGTATGAAAGTACCTCGGCATGTGACGGAGTTCCCTAATATTCCCAACATGTAACCAGACCTGCACACGCACGCATAACTTCCGAAAGTGTTCCTGCAGGTCTGCCGTTCTGAGCACACAGAGAGGGCACCTTTACACTCATCAACGTCTGCAACATAAACAGAAAATCAGAAAAAAAAACTTTTAAATAGTTAAATGGTTTATTCAAGCAGTTTTCGCCATAATATGCAGTATTTATACATATAGCAAAATTTTTTACACATTATTAGAATATATTAAATTATACTGGAATATGAAGTTAAATTAAAAAGAACAAGTCTTAATTTGTCACATATAAATTACAGCATAGTGAAATTCTTTTCTTTGCATATCCCAGCATGTTAGGAAGTTGGGGTCAGAGCACAGGGTCAGACATGATACGCTGCCCCTGGAGCAGAGAGAGTTAAGGGCCTTGCTCAAGGGCCCAACAGTGTCAACTTGGTGGTGCTGGGGCTTAAACTCCTGACCTTCTGACCTTAACTGTTGAGCCACTAGTGCCTTACATTTTACTAGAAAGCAAAAGGCAAAATAACTTTGAAATTCTTTAAATTTTTTTTGTATTATGTATGCTGCTGGTATGAACAAATCCTGCTGCAGCCAGACAAGTATCCACTTTATCAGGGACACCATACAAATACTAGGTAGGACTTGTTTTGCTCTTTGTGATATGTACTCTACAAAGTATTTTTTTCAGAAATTATTTACAATCGCAATATCCGGTGTCACCCAGACGAGGATGTGTTCCCTTTTGAGTCTGGTTCATCTCAAAGTTTTTTCCTCATGTTGTCTCAGGGAGTTTTTTCTTTCCACCATTGCCTCTTGCTTGCTCATTAGAGATGATAATAATAATAATAATAATAATAATTAAAATATTATATCCGGATTCCTGTAAAGCTGCTTTGTGACAATGTCCTTTGTTAAAAGCACTATATAAACAAAATTAAACTGAACCGAAATTGAATTGAATTTGCCAGCTGCACATTCATACAGTGAACCTCATTGCAAATTTCTACCACATCCCTAACGTGTTCTGTTGGCTTCAGATCTATTGACTGAGGAGAACATTACACTGAACTCATTGACATGTTCATGGAACCAGTTTGAGACAACTTGAGCTTTGTGACATTATCGAGCTAGAAGTAGCCATTATAAGATTATTGTGGGCCAATACACATAGATTGTGGACACAAATGGATGCACATGGACAGCAACAATACTCAGATAGCCTGTGGCTTTCAAAAACAATGCTTGATTGGTGTTAAGGGGACCTAATATCTGCCAAGGATACATTCCCCACACCAGTACCCCACCAGCAGACTGAACTATTGACACAAGGCAGGTTGGGTCCATGAATTCATGCTGTTCATATCAAATTTCTGACCCTACCATCTGCATGGTGCAGAAGAAATTGAGATTCATCAGACCAGGCGACATTTTTCAGCTTTCTCAATCTTCAACTGTCCAGTTTTGGTGAGCTTGAGATGCTTTTCTGCTCACCACGGTTGAACAAAGTGGTTATTTGAATTACCATAGCCTTTCTGTCAGCTTGAACCGGTCTGACCATTCTCCTTTGAAGGCGTCTGATGAAGAAGAATATTTTGACGCGATGTGATAGACAGCGTTCTCCACCACCATTATCAAAACACCAACTGAAGGAATATCTTATAGAAGAAGGGTGTTCATAAATCTGGTACAGTTCCAGAGACTTGTAGTATTGATGCCAAGGAGCACTGAAGCTTTTCTGGTGACTTCTTGTGACCCAACACCTTACTAACACATTGTATGTTGGCATTTTCCTTTAATTTGTCACCCATCTGTAATTCACAGCCTTAGAAGCTTATTCACAAAAAGACGTAACCACACACACTCATACACAGGTTTAGCGCACCTGGATTCCTGCTCCAGAAAAGCCCTAAACACAAACAACTATCCTGTTGTGATCAAACGAAGCCAGAATTGGAGTAAATGACCACTTTGACAGTCCCCACATCACACAGCTTTGAAATCTACACCGCTGTTAAGAGCAAGAACAAAGGATTGAAGGAACTCTGTCTCTTGCTATGTCTCTCTCTCTCTCTCTCTCTCTCTCTTTGTCTCTTGCCTTTACAAAAATAGATTACAGACCCACAGTAAGTCAACTACTAGCATGAATAACCCCGCTAAAATGCTCATTTTTTTCCCGTACTAATTTGTGACTTTTACACCATGTAAGCTATGGACATTTAACACAATCTCTAATTTCCTAGGAGTGCTTAGAGCTTTAAAACAATGTAAAAGTTCTCACAGCTGCACATAGAGTATCTTTCTATATGATGAACTAATCAAAGCTACCACAACATTGCACTGCTGTATGTTTCATGCACAATGTAAGTGATTGCTGCGCAGTGTTATATAGCCCCTTGTGAAGAATTCACATACATTTCACGTGATCATGTTTTTTTCACATGTTTATAAGTAATATGTGGTTATGTAAAAAAAAAAAGAAAAGGGAAGGTGCAGTTCCTGAAATTGCACGTGGAAACTCAAGTAAACACGTGACAACATGTGAACA